GGGGGGCGGGGGGGAGGTAGGCCCCCTGTCACAAGTGGTGGGATGGCCACTCTAGGAAGAGGACATCACAGTGCAAATTCTCCAAGCCTAGGAGGATTTAGGGTGCTCAAGGCCCACAGCTCTGAAGGAGCAGGAGAGTAGCATGAGAGGAATGAGGTGGAAAGCAGAACGGGATGGGTGATCACCAGAGCCTTGGGGGCCACTCAAGGGCTTTGAGTAACATCTTGACATACTGGTTGTGTGCAGAGATTAGGCATGAGGGGGAGAGACTGAAAGTGAGAAGACCAGTGAGAAAGCCATTGCCATAGTTCCCAGATGAGCCAGCAGAGGGGCTGAGCTCAGGAGGCAGCTCTGGAGCCAGATCCAATAGCAAGTGTCACAGGATGGGTGGTGGCAGGTGAGGGAAGGGCAGAGATTGGAGAGAACAAGCCCCCTCCAAGCTGATGACCTGAGTGGGCAGAGAAGGCTGTTTCTGAGCTAGGCTGCCTGGGGTGGAGGCCTGGAAGATGGGACACAGGTATTAGAGAAGAAGCCTCCAGTATCTATGTGACATTTGAGATGCTGGTAAAAGTCCAATTAGAGATATCAAGGAGGCAGTGGGATGTGTTATTCTGAAACTCTTGTGAGAGTCAGGGTGGCACACACATAATTGAGTGTCATTGAACTAAGGGCATTTAGGGAATGGATGCAATTTCCTATGGGAAGAATGTACAAAAGGAAGAGAAGGGATTCCCCAGACCAAACATTTGGTGGTCAGATAAAAAAGGGGAACCCAGCAAGGAGGAGAACCAGGGAACACTGAGTCTGGAGGTCGGGTGGAGTGGGGGTGCCACACGAGGATTGGTTGGTGGTTCATGCTAAGATGTCAGGTATCATGACCATGAAGAAGTACCCTGGAGATTTAGCAATAAAGAAATAGTTCTCAAGCTTTGGAGAGCATCATTTTTGCCTGAGGAGCTTATTGAACTACAACCAAGAGTTGAGAAGTCCTAAAGCTGAGGCTTGGCAATTCGGGCTAGAGTGAAGATGTCAGTTTACAGCTGACCTGTTGGCTGTGGTGTCGCCTGTGAAGCAGTGACAGGGAGGCCTGTTTGGATCTGGCTGCAGGAGGAACACCCCACTCTCCACTCCCTTAAGGGGTTTTGATGGTGGACAGGATCACGGCAGTGGCTGGGGCCAGATGGGAAAGCCTGGAGCACAGTGCAGGCTCGTGAGAATGACCCAGAAGGAAGCAGAAGGCGATGGTGCAGGGACAAAAGGACCGATGCCCCTCCCGTGGGCACAGGAGGGAAGGGGGATAATTAGGGGGCATTGTGGGTTTGATGGTCCAGAGAACCTCATCTCCAAGGCTTCTATTTCTCAATGAGATGGGAGGCAAAGTTCTCAGACAGAGAAATGAGGAGGACTCTGATGAGCTTGAGGAAGGATGAGCAGGAGGGAGACCATACTGCACTGCCCAGAGTGTGCCAAGCCTGGGGAGTTTGTGACCCTAATGCAATTGAAGACATCAGCCTAGTGCTGTGATGTTCTCCAGGCCTGGGTTTGTGTCCCAGCCCAGCCACGTATGACCGCTGGAGCAATGTGCTAAGCTGTGCTCCCAGGCCCTCCTTTAAGGCTTTGCACCTGCCATCCTCTTCAGCCATCCCATGTTGGGTCCCCATTTTACAGAAGAGGAAACTGAGGCAAAGGGGTGTAAGTGATTTACCTCAGGTCAGTAGAGAAACTGGATTTCTGAAGAGGGACTGAGTCTGGGGCTAGAGGATAGTGTAAAGCCAGAAGGGGACAGATGTGTGGCTGGGGAGGAAGGAGGGCAGGAGGGAGGGCAGGGCTTGGTGGCTAGCTGGGGAAAAGAGCTGGGAACAGCCCTGTTTCTTCTGCAGGGCTTCAGTGTCTGGGGGCTGCTTGGGTCTGGGCTGACAGTCTAGGGAGCTCAGTTTTTAGGACTCTTGCAAACTCTGTGTCCTAAGTAGAGAAGCCAGCCCAACCCATGTAGCCCGTGGGAACTGACTCTGCAGTGGCTCCAGCCTCCTTGGGCCTCTGCCCTCATATTGTCTCAGCATCTGGCAGGGCAAGGCAACTCACTGTGTCCCTCCCGCCAAGCAAGGCCTGTTCCTGGCTTTTACTGCCATCCCCAGGCTGGCAGTAGCCTCACCTGCCCTGTGCTCTCCATCCTGCTAAATTCAGCCCCACTCCATCTCCCACCCCCACACTAAAGGCCCAGTCAGAGGATCTTTCCAGAGCATCTGGTTCTGCTCTTCTCCTCTCCCAGTTCAGCTGATGTTTGCTGAGCACTTACTCTGTGACATCAGGGACACTGACTCATGTAGGGGATGTGGGACTTGAGCAGGTGACCCAGCCAGCTGGCATCAAGGGGTCATGGGACCCAGGTCTCTCACCACCCAGTCCCCTAGTCTCCTCTACTGGGCTTGCATGCAGAGGGGGCAGTGTGTGGGGTGGAGGCTTTGAAGAGCTGAGTGGCGGTTCTACTGAGCCCTTTCCCCTCCCCCAGGTACCCCGTGGTGGAGAGGGGCTGGTTTATTTCTCCTGCCCCTGAGCTCTGACCTACACAGGCTCCTTCTCCTGAGAACCCTGTGCTTCCCTGCTGCTCCCTTCTCTGCCACATCTGTTTCCTGTCAGGCTCCAGCTGTGCCTCCCCCCTACCAGCCCTGTCTCCCAGGAGAAGAAAACACTCATGGGCTTTGCCTTGCTGCAGGGGGTGGGGGCGGCCCTTGGTGGCGATCAGTCCCAGCTGCCGAGTGTTTTCCCTCCACAGAGGGGAGTCGTCGCCACAGCTCCCCACCCAGAGGCAGGCTGAGCATTCGGGCCAGGACCCACAGAGGGAAGTCCAGTAGGGTCACAGCCAGGAGAGGGCATGACTAGGATAAGCCGAGGAGGAGGCCTGGTGAGGATGTGGCAAGAGCATTTCCATAAGACTCGGATGCTTCCCCCTGTCCCCAACCTGCCCCGAACCCTACATAATAATACATGATACTAGTACTGGCCAACACTTTAAGTGCTCTCTGTGTCCCAGGCACTGTCCTAAATACTTTGGATATATTAACTTTTTACTCTTTTACTTTTTAAAAGAGCCCTCGCATTAGCCCCATTTTATGGAGGAGAAAATTGAGGCACAGACAGGGTAAGTGACTTGCTAAAGGTCACACAACATTGGCTAAAGTCTTGTAGGATATAAAGTCTTTAGGTATAAAGTTCCATAAGACAGTCATCTCATTTACTTCTCTACCTCCCACACATACAGACTCCAAAAAACTATGAAGCAGACAGTGAATATTAACCTCTACCCAGGTTATAGAAGGGCGAGGTGAGGTCCTTGAGGAGAAAGATCTTGTTCAACAGACTTCAGTTGACAGGTGGCAGAGCTGGCATGCAGAACTCAGTCTGTCTGACTGTACTGTTAACATGTCATATGGAGATGTAGAAGACACTGGCAAAAGAGATTCCAGAATAGACTTCAGGACACACTAGAGATGATCCTCAAAAGCTCTGTCGTCACTTTGCCCTGGACCTTGCCTGGGAAGTAGACATCCTATCAGGGTGGGTGCAGCTGAGCAGATGCTGGGCTTGTGAAGAGAAATGTACCTCCCCCCTGCCACAGGAGCATGCTGCCTTTAGGAGAGAAAGCCAGGTAGCCCGGGCAGGCTAGGAGGAGCACATGCAGTGGTACTAGCTATTAAGTGTCCCCAAGCCAGGGGCACCAGCTGCTGGGCAGGCAGGGTACCCCCACAGCATGAGGACTGGAAATAGAAGGTGGGGTTAGGCGGCCACAGACCCACCACCTCCTGGCTGCAGGCCCTGGGGCAAGACCTTTAATGTCCTAGAGCCTCAGTTTCCTCATCTGTAAGGTGGATAGTGGTATGGAACTCAAGGGAAGGTCATGAGGTTAGGTGGCAGGATTTAAATGGCGGTGCTTTGCCACATAACATATAAGCCATAGGAAGAAAGTAGTGATGGGTCTGCTTACTCAG